TGGGTGCAGTTGGGAAAGCCTCCCCCAGGTCACTTCCACCCTACCCTGCCGCTTCCCCATTGACTTTCTGGGGAAGCCAGCAGGGAAGGTTGCAAAAGTCAATCACGTGATTGCAGGCTGCTGCAACCAGTTGTAAGTGCAAACTAGTTGCTAAACTCCCAGGTCACAATTATGTGACTGTGGGGGGTGTGGGGGCTGGGACAGCCAGAACTCCAAGGACCGGTTATGACCATCATTAGTTCAGCACCAACATAACTTTGAATGGTTGCTGAACAAATGGTCATAGGTCAAGGATTACCTGTATTTCAAATTTGTCTGGTCCCTTAGTTCATTTCAAACTTTCTTGGATTAAATTCTTATCTAGATTTTTGCTGTTTATTTTGTCTTCTTTAAATTCTTAATTTTTCCTTTATTCTGGAATAAAAGATCAGTCACCTGGTAGTTTTTCAAACTTGTTGCTCAGAAGATCTCTTTTAACTTTAAAACAGTTATATTCCAAAAGTGAGATTTGACAAACCCAGTGTCCATATAGGCGCCACTGCAGTTGATGACTTTCCTCATCTCCCGGCACTCAAACCCATGAGTCGACTGCTGTCCTGCAGTCTCCTCATGAGAAGCAGCTGTCTAGAGTGCAAGTGGGCAATCTCTTGTCCTCTCCTTATCTGGAGAGGTTCATTGGACCAGATTTGCCACCAGTCCATCAATCTTGGCCACAGCATCATCTCTGCTCCTTCAGAAACATCTTAGCTCACCATTCCTCACTCAGAAGTCTTCATAGCTGGCATCTTTAGAGGCAGAGTAAGTTGCTTTCTGATATGCCACTCAGCATTTCAGGGTTGTCTGGGCTCTTGTATTTAAACCTGGCAAGCTGCTCTCTGATTGGTTCATGTCACAGGAGTCCAAGAAAGCTGGTTCCTGATTGGTTCCTTGTCTGATTCATTCTTTTGAACAAATTCCAGGAGTATTAGTTCCTGACTGGGCTGTCTTTGAGCCCAACTGCTGATTGGCTCTTTGTGTAGGTAGACTTCTGATTGGTTTATTTTGGAGAATTCCAAGACAGCTGGTTCCTGATTAGACTGCTTTTGAGCCAAGATACTGCTAGATATTGTTCTTTCTACTGCAGATTATTTTTGAATAGATAAAGGCTATTTAATCTAGGTGGGGCATAAAGCTAAAATTCATGCTTTATTGATTTTCAAATGTTCCTCCTTTCTGTTGAAATTGTTGGAATATTTATGGATCTTGATGGCCCCTCTGTGTGGTTGTACATGGTAGTTTGATGTGGCTGACAGGACCTGTGTGTCTTCAAATTGGACCTGGTATTCAATATGAAGCAGAACATGTTCTGCTACTGCTGATTTTTCATGTTGTCCTAGATAGCAACACCTCTCATGTTCTTTTAACCAAGTATTAATACTGCATGATACTTTAGCAATATGGACTAAATGGTCTATCTATTCAGTGGATCCACAGCAGGTTCAACAAACATGCATAAACAGTACTTGTTTTCTTATTAACCTGAAGTCAGGTATCAAGTGGGGTGTCATAAGGTTCAGTTTTGGAATACAGACACAAAGCAATATTAATAAATTAGAGAAGTAGAATTATACATTTAAAATACAAAGATCTTTTTAAAAATGCACAGATATAGGTGCAGTATTTTGTTTGTAGAAGAATATTTTAGATTGAATTATAATTTTCATGCCTATGTTCTCCCATGCAAAATAAAACATCCTATAGATCTATTATTACTTGATTTTAAAGGATCTGACTGATGGGGGTGGGGTGGACATTCCTAGCAGCAGTTTTCTTTTTAATAATGGAGGCTAATTGTGTTTAGTTCTCTCTGCTCAGAATGTGCATTCTCTGTTGCCTAGTACACCATATGCTTGTGGAATTCCACTTGCAGCAGAGGAGAACTTCAGATACCAATATTGAGATAACCTTTCTCAGTAACAACTCCTCAGCCAGCACCAGCTTCATCATGTGAGTAATAATGGACAATTCCAATGTCCTTTTTTGTTCCTTTTGGCTTGCACAATTATCCAATAGGCAGCCTAATCCAAACTAGCCAAAATGGCTAAGCCCCAGCTGCTGTCAGACTTGTTGGATCTGTTCTGTGTTGAATCTTCCCAGCTCAGAATATGCGATGCAAGTTTTAATCTCCCCTTGGATTCAGTGTGCTGCAAGATAATATAAGACTACCTCTCCTGACCTCACTTTGTGCCAGTATTGTGAATATCTACCTAGACTGACTAAAATTTGTCTGTGGCATAACTCTGCTCTTCTCCTAGCCCATTCCCATCCCATTTTTTATTTCTCTCAGCATATATTGGTTCCCCTGGCAGATCTTTTTGCCAGAAAAGTCATCTCAGTTGTTAGAAATGATTTCTGGAACATATCCTAACACCACCAACTAATACATATTTTAGTTAGGATTGTGCCATGGATATTTCCACATAATACTGCAGTAGCAACAATACAGAGCCAGATACATTTGTATATGAAGCACGTAGACTTACAGTGTTAGTCTATGAAGACATAAGCAATTATGTGTGATTGCAGAATTTTCAAAACCTAAGTTTACTGCAGTTCCAGAATGTTTTTACTTTGATAGCTTGTGTAAGTAGCAGAGCCACATTTCTTTACTATCAGCTTTTCCTACAATGGTTGATCCCTCCCAATGTATTTTTCTCCCATTGTTCATCTGCTCCTCCCCTCCTGCACTCCAGTTTACACATACAAAATAAAGGTGTGCAGAGACCATCAGATTTTCTTTGGATCCTAATGGAAAATGGCCTTTGTTCAGACTTATTCAGAGCTCACTCTGCAGTTCGATTATAGCTCTTTCCTGCAATGTATTGATAATTCTACAAAAACTCAGTTAAAACTTTGGTTTCTGTCCTCACCCTTATATCTTATTGGGCTTTGCAGACCCAAGCAGCAAATGCTAGGCAAAGGCTTGCTGACTCATTCTGCTCCACTATGCCAGATAGAAAGTGTGATGTTGCAGCACCATCACAAGTTCTGGAGGAGAACCAAAGATGAGACACCTGTTGTTGGCCACTTCTGTACTGCATCTCTACCTGTGGATAAAAAGTAAGCAAGAAATAATTTTCTATCTTTCTGTCTCTAGCAAAGAAAGTGTTGGGAGATTTTTTTTTTTTTTTTGGTATTTTAATTTATTTGGGAATACTGTATACAATTAATCAAGATGTACATTTGAGGCATTTTCCTCTTCCACTGGTCTTATTTTAAAATATATGAGGTTGGAGTTTTGCTTTTAGCTTAAACAGTCTCAGAGGCACTGGGCAACTCCAAGCAGCACAATTTCCACTCCTCAAACCTTCCTTTTTGAAGGCAGTGGTACAATAATCTTTGCTTGTGCCACTGTAAACTGGCATAACATTTGTCTGACCTGTTCTCAGTCCCTGTCCCACCACAGTAACTACGTTGCCAAGTGGTGGCATTCTTATTTGCTGTGTGCAGGTAAGTTAAGAAGAAGAATTGGGGGAATTCCCTTGCTTTTGTTGTAGGGAGGCAATTGTTGCCACAAATGGGAAGCACTGCCACCACCAGGCCTCCCCACCCTGTCAGGGGATCTCCAGCACACACAAGGAAGATAACATCATGAGGATGCAGCAGTGTGGCCATGCTGCCAGATGAGTGCAGATGCTGCATTTAGAGGGGCCCTCTGAGTCGATTACAATCAATTTAAATACAACAGAAACCAAACTTAAAATTAAGGACCTCATACAGATTGCCCCATCTCCATTTCTTCCGATTACCACTGGTTGAAACTGTCATCCTTTCTTTGAGGTATTGAAAGGCAGTTTAGAAAATGAAAATTGATAGAACCATTAAGGAATTAATTAATGCATTAATTAACTAATTAACTAATTAATTAATTTTATTTATTAATAAATTAATTATTAATAAATAAATTAATGCATTAAGAAATGCATTCCAGGAGCCATTTGGATTTTTTTGTTTGTTTTTTGTTTTGTTTTATTTTTTGTTTTCTTTTCAGTGTATCCTTCTTACCTATTTTTTTTACTTCTCTTGAGGTGTCTTTTCCTTTGTCATTTAAAAGAACTTAAGCTCTGAGAAGTTACTGCTAAAAGAGTGGTATAGCCTAACATTTCATATTAGGTCAGCATGTCCTTTTGCAGAAGAAACATAAAGACTGGCATCTGTGAGAGAAATAGACGAGAAGAACTAAGCGTAGATGCTTAACACACCTATTTTGCATATTATTCTTGCCAAAAACTCCAAAACCTACCCTAATCACATATCTCTGGAATGCTTTGGTGGGTAAGGACTGTTGCTTGCAAGCAGAAGGTTGCCAACCCCTGTTATAGAAGATAACACACATCTAGCAAAGATAGCCCAGGACTGAAAACCTACCACCACCACAACCAAGGAAAGTGTTCTGACAAATAAAATTATTAAAAATAAAGACATAAGGCAGAAAATTACCCACTATTAATTCAGGAAGGCAGGCTGAAGAACGGTAATTCCAGTTCTCATAGTAATTATTATTGTTATATGGCATCTTACTAAAATGTATTACAAGCTTAATTAGTATCCTTTAACTTTATTCTGTTCTTTCTTCAGAGAGAAGATGATGTGTTTGCCACAAGTGCTGACTATTACAAGCCATAACCCCCTTCTCCAGAACCTCAACATTCAGTGTGATTAGTACAGTTTTGCCTTGTGGACACAGAGATTATTACAGGGCTGTAACTGTGAAGGGAAATATTCTAAAATCAAATGAGTTGTGTTATTTGAACATATGTTTCTGTCCCAGTATACTTGCTTCACTTCAATTGTTAATACTTTGTGCCTGTTTTTAGTAAAACTAAACAATTGTACAACTATGGAATAAACAGATACAATGTCCATAAAATGGAACAGCACTTAATTCAACAGGACCTATCTCTCATCAATCTGAAGTAGAAATAAGTAGGTTCTGCAGGTTTACAGCGGAAACTGGCTGTACATGGTGCTAATTGTTTGAATTACTCCCCAGATATTACCATCCCCTGTAAATCCAGTTCTTCACTTAGAAGTGAACAAATGGTAGGTCTGCTTGATTGTGCTTTCAAGAGTGAAAGGCCAGTATCAAGGAAGAGGGCGTTTCATGAATTTTTCCTCTACCTGCCTATGTCCATTAGCACATTCAACCTAGTTTTCTGACCTACTAGATGATGACTTTCCACAATATTGCAGAAACTTTTCCCATTCACATCCCACCCAATATTCTGCAGAATATGGCAGCAGAATTCTATCCCTTAGTCCTAAAATCTTTGCTCAGGACATCTGACATGCTGATAATATGAAGATTTTCTGTGCCGTATAACCTACTTCAAAACAGAGGAAGGATAGAAGGTGGACATACATAAGTTTCATCTCCTAGATCTTGACTTCGGTACGAGAGTATCTACAACATCTTCCTCCTTCTGTCTCAGCAAAATCCTCTAATGTTAAAAGAAATACAGTACAGTACCAGCACAAACTCAGGACTGGTGACCAGGCTTGGCATCACTATTTGAATTTCATTTTGTAAAGATGTTTTTGTAGGTTTTAAAAACAACAACCTCCAAATTATAACTATAGAACCTTTGCATGTCATTAATAAAATATAAAATAAAGTCTTGATTTAACTTTCCATTCACTTGGCTTCCTGGAGTCATTTTGTAAGTCTTTTCATCACACCAGTGCTTTCCAAAAGGAACATGAAGTCATTGGTGGCCCACCCTGTTGAAAAGCAACCTCATTTCTGTTGTGAGGAAAATGAGGAAAATATATCTTTGGGTAAATCTTTGGGTAAAAGAAGCAAGTTTTTGGAGGCCTTAGATGAATGGGATCACCTTAATAAAATTGAAACATAAAGGAATGTGCAGCACCCTTGAAGCTGGCAT